TAAAACTATCTGGAAATGTTTAAAGGAACTCATCCCAAGCTCTGATGTTATGTCTAATAGCAGAAAGGTTAATAACAAGGATTGTACTTCACCATCTGGTATTGCTAACACATTTAACAATCACTTTGTCTCCTCTGTTGCTGCGGTTACTGATAATGTGCCAGTCTGTGAGCCAGACGCAGGTATTATGAATGTTGATGTTAAAACTGACATGGATCCGGAAATGACCTTTCATCTCAAACCTGCGTCTGAGAATTTTGTAATTAATGAAATATCCAAACCGGGTTCCAGGAAACGACAACATAAGCTGTCTGCTTATTAAGTTAGCCAGCCCTATCTTGGCCACTTCATAAACAAACATTAAGAAATCTCTTTATAAAGGTCGTGTACCTAAAGCATGGAAAGTGCCATGGTCCTTCCGCATCATAAGCCGGGTGGTATATCATGTTTAAATAATTACAGACTAATCTCAGTGTTACCAGTGTTAGGTAAAATTTTAGAATGAGCAGGTATAGTCAACTTTTCCAGTTTATTGTTAATAATAATCTCTTCCATTATCATTAGTCTGGTTTTAGGCCATTGCATTCGACAACAACTGCTCTTGCAAAACTTGTAAATCACTGGTCAAAGAATATTGATGCAGGCAAACTTACAAGTGTTGCATTTATTGATCTTAAAAAAGTTTTGGATACTGTTAACCATGCATTGTTGCTCACTAAGCTTGGTGTGCTTGGGTGTGCAAAATGGTCTTTAAAATGGTTTCAATCTTATCTTACACAAAGTGTTTCTTTTAAAGGTGCTACTTCTCAACCTATTTCCGTTATTCACAAGAGTGCCACAGGGCTCTATCCTAGGCCCATTGATGTTTTCCATTTTTGTAAATAGCATACCTAAATCAGTAAGTGATGGGGTTATTGATATGTATGCAAATGACACCACTTTCACAGTAAATGGAGCTAATGTTGGTGAAATAGAAGAAAAACTGACCAACAGTATGCGTTGGATTATGAATTGGATAAATGCCAACCGTCTTGCGCTTAATTCAGACAAAACTAATGTTATGATTATTTTGCCCCGGGCAAAACTAAACAGGATTGAGAACTTCAATGTAATCATTAATGGTATTTTTTAAAACGTGTTAAGCTTGCCAAATGTCTTGGCATTTTAATTGATGAGGAGCTGCGTTGGACATTACAGGTGGACAACATTACTAAAACTGTACGATCAAAAATAAGCATGCTTTAAAGGGTTAGACCATATGTTTCTTTAGAAAGGTTGACCCTGCTTTATAACTCATTTATTCAGCCCCTTTTTGATTATTGTTGTCAGATATGGGCAGAAAGATTCTGCATGCATACTAACAAGCTTGAGAAACTTCAGAAATGTGCAGCAAGAATTATATTGAACAGGACTTATGATACTCCGTCTGTTAACCTTTTACACAAGCTAAAATGGATGCCTTTTAAACAACGATTTATCACCCATGCTGTACTGATGTTTAAATGTTTGCACAATTTGGCTCCAGCTTACTTGAGTGATGAATTTATCCAAACAAACCAGACTCACAACTATAACTATGAATTCACTTATTGTACCAAGATGTAAAACCAATTGTTTGAGGAACAGCCTATTTGTGACAGGAACTTCAGAATGGAGCAAGCTTGATCAGTCAATGAAAATGGCAACATCCTTTACCAGTTTGAAGTTATCTCTGAAAGCGTCCCTCATGTAGTTTTGTTTTTGTCGATGTTATTTTTAATATTTTATGCATATCTTTATCTTTATTTTTTATTTATTATTTAGATACATTTATATTTTTACTGTATTACTATTTGCTACAGTGTTTTGTTTTAAATACATGCATTGTTTGTGGTTTTTATGTGTGTGTTTTTGTCTCTTTTTACTAATTTTACTTTCCTGTTTGCTGTTTATTTTCACTCCATGATAATCTTTTAAAATTCTAATATTGTTGTACTTTATTTTTAAAGTTCATTCATTTTAATGTAGCTTTTTAAGTTGATTTTCTTTAAGTGGTATGACACGGCCTTATGGAAGACCACCGTTTGGGTGAATAAGCTACCCTGGATAAATATGAGTAATAAACATAATCACACTTAATGACTCCGTCCACACCTTTACAAACAAACTTTCGTTATAATGCTTAAGTCTGGCATTACGAGGTGAAGCAGACCTGTCTACAGTGCGGGGACCCAAATCATTCTTCAGGAGCTGAAATGACTGATCAATGGACCAATCATCGAAATCACGGAATCTGCTGATTTTATCTGCTATTGTATTTTCGTGTCTAGGCGACCATTCTGGTAACAAAAAGCAATTGAATTCCTTTGCCATTTCAGTTTTATTGCTGCCGAGTAGAATGATTGTCAGAACGTTCAAATTGTCCGTATACCATTTCACATTCTTAAACCTAACTGCGACTTGCAGCTGCGTAAGTATGTTGCTTACTGTGGCTAATTCTCGCCAAGTTAAACTTTTCCTTTGTTCTGTTGGGGACCAATTGCCTTGTACTTTAAGAAGAATGTGACCTTCCACATGGCCACCAGAGCCTATATCACTAGCGTCTGAATAGATGGTTAAGGGAGGGACTTACATGTATCTAGCTCATATGGGCAAACCCGTTTAGGGACTGAAAATGATTGAGCCAATATTTTAGTACAGAAGTGGGGTCGGAGGGAATAAGAATTGAGTCGTTCCACAAAACACATGATTCGATCGCTAAGTAGAACAGGTCACGAATCTAGCAATTGGGCCAAGCACCGAGTAGGATGAGATTATGTGACCAGCAGGAACAGATCTTTTTGGATTCATGTAACTGCACGAGAGCCGAAATAATTGCAAGGATTTTGTCAAGTTTTCTTGGGGGACCTGAAAGCAAAACTGAAAGTGTTGGAGTCGATTATGAACCCCAAGTATTGTATTGATTGGGGGGGGGAACCATTATGCACTTAAATTTGTTTTGCTGGGAACAAAGCTGCTACTAGATATACGCTCATAGAGTTAGACAACAATCTAATAGCCTGCAGAATCTTGTCGTTGGGATTGTCAAGATTGCACAGATTCATGCTTGACACAGCCATGTATGTAGTAGAATAGCAAGGCGAGGTTGCTCAACCAAGAATGAGACAAATACTTTAGAGATGAAGGGTAAGTACAGTAGCCCTCTCTTATGTCAGATAGTGAGCCTTTGACTTCATCATTATTTTCAGGGAATGCAGACAATGGAACACTCTTAGTGAACGCAACCGGCTTGGAGTCACCACTACCTTGTAGTTGTCTCGAGTATACAAAGCACTTAGATTTTACATGACCTGATTTCTTACAAAATGAACAAATCATTGTTGGCTTATTAAATGTTTCCTTTTTTGGACTAGTCCCTGAATTTGCACCGTCAGGTTTATCAGTATCTAGTGACTTAGAAGAACGCGGAGGACTCTTGTGAGCCAACGTTTACCAGGATTGCAACTACCCTTTGCAAAATTTTGTTTATGTGTCAACACATACACGTAGTCATCAGCTAACCTAGCTGCCCGGAGTAATTCTGTAACCCTAACCCCTCAAGGGTTGCTGGCCCTAACCTTCCCCATTCGCACAAAGTTAAACACCCATATAGGACTTTGTGCACAGAGGTTGTTGGACTTAGTTTTTCTGAGGTATGCCAAACCCAATGCAAAAGCCAGCTATTA